GCAATACACATCCCCCCTTTTCTCTCTTACTTTTGCTATTGTGGGCTACAAGGGCAGGGAGAACAGAGTCGGGTTTCTGTTGACGGAGAATTAAATTTGCACAGGAATAATTCTCTGGGTCATCTCTAGCCATTGAAAGGTTACTTTGTACTGATTACTTGTGTGGATCAGAATTACTTAGTGAGATTTAGATTTAGACCTAAAGCTTTTCTGTTTCTTTCAATATGATTCTTCTTTTAGTTGGGTCTCTCCTTGGCATTTAGCCAAACCAAGTTGATGATGTTCATTAGCATACTCTGCATCATTTAGCAAAAACTTGAGGATTTTTTATATTCTGATTGTACTTCTATATTTACTTGCATAAATATGAACTGAAGAAGAAATGTGGGGGTCTTTTTTGTTTTCTTTGTTTTTTTAAATTGTATATTTGAAGTAATATCTGAATCTTGTGTTGTTTCCAGAACCTGCTAGCCCAGGCCAGGACTTGGACATGCCTATGGAAGTTGATAGCAGTGAAATGAACAGTGATGGTAGTCGAGGCCTAGATGATGCTGAAGAGCCCTCTCCTCCAGAGGACAAAATCTTCTTTATGGATCCATCTGACCTTGATGCAGACAAAGATGAGGAAGCTGTCAAAACCATCAGGTAAGTCATAAGATGGATTTCTTTGCTCTGGATGTGCTTTCCTCAGTATTGTGAGTAAAACATTTCTGATTAGCCCGGTTTTACTGGTCACGGTGTTGTTTTTTCATTTGTGTTTGGTTTTTTTTTGTTTTGTTTTGTTTTTGTTTTTTTTTTTAAAAAAAACTTGAAAATGCTTTATAAAGTCATCTTGTCTCAAGAAAATCTGAAACATAAATAAATGAAAATAATATAGTCTCTTCTAATTGAAAAAGTGCTGTGGTATGACTTATCAAGGAAATAAAACCAGATTATCAAAACATGGTAAAATTTATGGCTTAACACGGCTAAGACATGACTAAGGTCTTTGACTTTAGTCTAATTTAGTTAGTTATACATGTGTGGATTTAAAAGGAATTACTTGACACATTTTAATATTCATATCATAGTCCATACGCATTTTAGGCAGAAGTTTGCTTTATTTTTCTTGAATGTGATTTTTTCTGAAGTCTTCTAGCTGATAACTGTTACATATTTCCTTTAATCAAGTTTGTTCTTTTTACTTTCTGTATTATTCTGAATCGTGTCATCCTGATTTTCTGAAGTCATTCATAATAACATAAAAGCAGTTGTATTAGGTCAAACTAAAAGTCATTTTAGCTCAGGGATTAATAGCAAATAAGTGAGGAAGAGCATATAGTGCTACCTTCCCAACTTTCAGTGATTTATAGCTTGGGGACTTCCTGAGTTGGAAGAAGCATCTTTTTTTTTATGTTCCACCTCTAGGTAGGATTTTTCCATTTATTTCTAATTTGATTTGAAGCAATTAAAGTTTTTGGCATGTACAGCATCCTGTGGCAGCCAATTCTATGTGCTCTGTTAAAGCATCCATACATTTTTGGCTTTTACTCTACCTTGTGATTTCGTGTGTTTACAAATGTTTCTGTAAGTGACACGCGTAGTAGCTCTGGTGTTAAGCAGGCAACTTAGTGGTTGACTCCATCTTCAGTGCTGTTAAAATGTGTACTGACTCTGTCAGAATATTAGAGATATTCATATCCTGTGTACAGGACAGTTAATAATCCCTGAGAACTGATAAAATTTTCTAGTGCAGCTGTGATTTGAATTAACACACCCCTGTTTATATTTTCATAAATTGAGAAGTATGCTTAGATAGGGACATTCATTAGTGTAATAACAATTTTAAGAAGTAGCATAGTCATCTTACACACATAAGAGAAAATAATAGCAATGTTGATGTTAATTACATTTTTATGCTGGATTAAGACCAACAGTCTCAGCTAATTGTTTTGAGAGAGGATGATTTCTGTAGGTGTCTTCATTCCAGTGTGTCTTCTGTGTTCTGCAGAGTAATTTTAAGTACTGCAATACTTGGACTAGGAGAGCTAATGGGAGCTCAGATACCTTATCAATTTCATCTATCAGTGAAACTTATATGGGAAGAAAAGGTGCCTGTTCTGAAAATTATGGGCTATTCATGTGTAGTACCAGTATAATTGCAGTACTGTTGTATTTTAACTTGTTAAATATTAACTGTTGTATCTTATTTTAGTCCTTCAACAAGCAATAATATTCCACTCATGCGAGTTGTACAGTCGATCAAGCACACAAAGAGGAAGAGCAGTACAATGGTGAAGGAAGGATGGATGGTTCACTATACTAGTAGAGACAATCTGGTCAGTGACTTTAGTTTCTTCTTACCTTAAGTTAAATTATTTCTCTAAACCAGTGTATTTTATTTCTTTTATTTAAATATTCTGATCTACAATGTCATTTGAAAGAACTTAGCCATTGTGTTCATTTTAAAGAAGTCTGGTGCAAAAGAGAAACTGTAGTTTATTCAAAATTTTTCATGTTGTAATTCAGCAGTACTTTTTTTCCCCCTCCTTTTTAAGAAGGAGAAGCATCTCTACATTGTCTTAAATGAATTGTATGTTTAAGATTTCAGCTTTCCTGAGATAGTAATATGGAATAATTTGCTTATGTCTTCTTTCTGTTCTGCAGTTGAGCTAAATATTTATATTAATGTTTTTATTCTACTGTGTGAAAAGGTGGAAATCATTATAAAATGATGAGTACTGACATAGTTGACACTATTATTCTAATGATCTAGGTGTTTGTAAATATTTATGGGTAGATATGGGAGCCCTTCATTTCTCTAGCAGTTCACTCTAAAAGTTCACTCTAAAACTCGCTTTTCCTCTTGATGTCAATGGAGTAAAGAGTTGTGGCTTGCCTGCATGTCCTTGGGTAGGGGTGCATCCTCCAAAAAGACTGCATTGTTTGTTTCCAGTGGTACCAATAATGATCTCTTAATTGAACCTTCTTAGGCAAGCTGCTTGGTTTTCTTTATTGAGGAGGAAGATAAGGAAGAATAACTGGGTTCTTTAGAGATGTATGATGGGAGGGAGTCAATCCTCTTGGCTTTTGGTAGATGAATGAAAAGAAGTCAAGAAGTTCCCAGATCTTGTGAAGCAGTGTGTCCTATCAAGACTGTTCATGAAAGGCAGTATAAATACTTTTGCATTCTTTGTCTGTACGCTGGAGTCTAATTGAAGGGGACTTCAGGAGTTTAGGGAAGCAAAGTTATTTAAGTTCTGCTGAAACCAAGCTGAGGGGTAATACTAGTCAGTTCAGGTTACTGTAGTATTTTTACTGTTCATGATTGTCAGCTAAACAGACGACTGCAAGTGGCTGTCAGAAACTGCCTTACAAAAAGTTTCTTTGAAGTACAGTTTTCTAATACCTAGATGTATTTATCACAAACCAAAATAAGTATCTAGTGTATTTTGGATGAGAGTCCAGCCAAGGCTACTTAACAGACACAATTAACATCAGCTGGCTATGGAAAAACTGAGGCCAGGTAGCAGACGAAGGTGAATAGTTCTAGCAGAACTGTTCAGGGCAGACCTGATATTTGGCTCCGATTTAATCTTTCAGTACAGCTGGTACATTTTTCCATGGACTTTTTTGAACGTCCTTACAGAGCAGTGATCAGATTGTACACCTTAGCTGTGACTTTCTTCATCTGTCAGTCTGACTGCTACCTAGATGACAGCTACCAAAAAAGGCCATTTGAATAGAGTATTCTACCCCAAAGCAAGATACCTTCAGCCAAACAAGATCTTGTAGAACTTCCTAATGGGAGGAGACTTCCTTATTAGGCATTACAACATCAGCTATTTCCCTTGACCGCTCTGTTCTCAGCAAGGTCAGACTGTTTCCTATTCCTGAAACAGCTTGGCTTTCTAACAGTTCCAAAGAGGTTAATTTTAACAGCAGTAGCTGTATGCTTCTTGCTGACCCTGGATAACAAGATATTTCACCCTTTATAATGAGAAGTTTCTGTGTCACAGAATCACAGAACGGTAGGGGTTGGATGGGACCTCTGGAGATCATCTAGTCCAACCCCCCTGCTAACCTAGCTTCACCTAGAGCAGGTTGCACAGGATCACATCCAGGCAGGTTTTTAATATCTCCAGAGAAGGAGGCTCCACAGCCTCTCTGGGCAGCCTGTTCCAGTGCTTGGTCACCCTCAAAGTAAAGAAGTTTTTCCCCGTGTTGAGGCAGAACTTCCTGTGCTCCAGTTTGTGCCTGTTGCCCCTTGTCCTGTCACTAGGCACCACTGAAAAGAGCCTGGCTCCATTCCCTTGACACCTGTTCTTTAGGTATATATAAGCATTGATAAGGTCCCCTCAGTCTTCTCCAGGCTAAAGAGCCCCAGGGCTCTCAGCCTTTCCTCATGAGAAGCATACTCCAGTCCCCTAATAATCTTTGTAGCCCTCTGCTAGACTCTCTCCAGTAGTTCCCTGTCTCTCTTGAACTAGGGAGCCTGGAACTGGACACAGTACTCCAGATGTGGCCTCACCAGGGCAGAGTAGAGGGAGAGGAGAACCTCCCTTGACCTGCTGGCCACACTCTTCTTAATGCACCCCAGGATACCACTGGCCGCCTTGGCCACAAGCGCCCACTGCTGGCTCATGGCTAACGTGCTGCCCACCAGGATTCCCAGGTCCTTCTCTGCAGAGCTGCTCTCCAGCAGGTCAACCCCCACCTGTACTGGTGTGTGGGGTTATTCCTCCCCAGGTGTGGGGCCCTGCACTTGCCCTTGTTCAACTTCATTAGGTTCCTCTTCACCCAACTCTCTGGCTTGTCCAGATCTCATTGAAGGGTAGCACAGCCTTCCAGTGTATCAGCCACTCCC